CAACACCCTCCTTTCAAACCATGGCACCATCTGCATGTCACTGTTGATACCTATTCAGGATTCATTATGGCAACACCTCAACGAGGAGAGGCTACAAAACATGTAATCAACCATTGTCTCCGTACCTTCACACATGTGGGGCCACTAATGGAAATAAAAAACGATAATGGCCCTGCTTACATCAGCACCACCTTTGCGGAATTTTGTCATCGATGGTCAATTATACATAAATTTGGCATTCCCTACAACTCCACTGGTCAGGCCATTGTGGAATGAGCTAATCAGACACTCAAACAAGCACTCCTTCATATAAAAACAAAAATGGGGGAAGTGGATGGATATGGTTTGCCTTACATACAAAACATTCTTAATATTACCTTATACACTTTAAATTTTTTAAACATGACAGGATCCCCTGCTGCTACGGCAGCCAGTAGGCATTTTGCTTCCTCCCCTTCTGCAGGTACGCCAAGACCGAAAGTTCGGTATAGGAGACTGCCAGATCCAATGTGGAAAGGACCTGTCCCGCTGATAACTTGGGACCGAGGATACACTGCCGTTGAAGATGAGGGGACAGTCGTTTGGGTTCCTGCTCACTGTGTGCGTCCTTATCATCAGCCAAAGGGGCAAGGGGGTGGATTTGGGGGAATGGAAAAGAAACACGTTGATCCAGGACATGGAGAAGCTAGCAAACCTTCATAATAAAACTGATTGTTGGGTATGTATGCACATGCCAACTCACAAAACATCAGGGCTTCCAATGGTTGCAGTACCTCTGGCCGAAGGCGACTGGTATAGGGGACAATGCTATGGTTGTTCAGGGACGTGGTCTAGCAGTTGGACTACAAGTAACATAAATACCTTACACCTTGGAAGCCGGATCCAAGAAGTGGCGGGTATCTGCTGGACCCACAATGAAACGGTAGAGAATATGACTTACTTGGGAACATATCCATTTTGTAACAAAACAATTGTTATTGGCAATGGAAGTCGGGTTTATCCGGATGACATGAAAACTAAAAATCTTACTTACTTTGTACATAACATTTCTAAATTTGATATCACATCTTTGATCAATGAAAATGGGTGTCCATACATTCCTGCCACATGCTGTCCCACCATGGAAGAAAACCAGCTGCCTAAATGTGCAAATGGGAATAACGCACCATCGTCCACTCATTTGGCTATGTTAATGGAGTCCTTTGCAAAACTAATCTATGCTGAGCCAAATAAGGTTGGTCATCTCCTGGGAGCAAATCTATGGTTGCTGTGTGGACAGATGGCCTATGATCACATGCCAGCACGATGGAAAGGGGTCTGCACCTTTGGGAAAGTAATCCCATCTCATGTCATTTTAAAATCTTTGGGGACTGCTCATATCCGCAATGCGCGTTCTGCAACGGAAGTAAACTCTGTTTTGACCCATGACTACTGGACAAGGGGAGTTATTCCCCCTTTAGGAGTCATGATGAACTATAGAGATTTACATCATTTAAACAATTGGACAGTTACTATGTTTAATGACACCATTAAAACGCTAAAGCTGCTTGAAGAAGAGCAAGGCAAAATTCTTGACTTTGTCCTGCAAACCAGATATGCAGTGGACACTATTTTGGCTGCGCAAGGGGGAGTTTGCGCTGTGGTTCATACGCATTGTTGCATGTATATCTCTGATTATTCTCCAAACATTACAGCTACTATACAGCATATGGAACGAACCTTGAAGGAGAATCCATTACAATCGGAGGGTGAGGGACTGGATGTGTGGTCTGCACTTTGGTCCTGGTTGCCAGATGGTTCATGGATTTGTCACCTAATTGTTGGAGTGATATTGCTTATTATATTTTCTCTTTGCGTATGCTGTTGTATCCGATGTCTCCCTGGACTTTTAGGAATGTGTCGGGTGAAGCCTACGGAAGGAGAACTGCTGTTGCAGATGGCGAAAAGCTACCGAGGCATCCACGATCATCAAAAAACTAAAACGGGAGATGTGGGAATAAAACTTTGACTTGGGTATTGGGTAATGATTAATCTAAGACTTTATACATACATGCTTGCTTAAAGGTCACTGAGATAGTGCAAGGAAATTAAAAACAAACACTAGAGACAAGCAGCTCAGAAAACTGTAAACAAGTCTGTACTATATCTAAGTATTGTAATCCACAATGTGACTCTACTTGCTATGCTTACCATGTACTAAAATCTCAATAAAAGAGAGCACTGGAATTTGCTCTGGGCTCTCATCCCGAGAACACTCGCTTGTGTCTCATCTTTTCCATGAGAGACCACCACACCACTGTAAAGAGGAGATGACAGTAACATTGGCTCCAGTATCCAATAACCCTTGAAATGGTTGTTTATTAAGGAAGAGCGTTAACAAAGGACAAGAGGAGTTTAGCTGATGAAGTAAGCCTACAGATAAAGAAGTTGATCCAAATCCTGCATCCCCACGATTACCTATACCAGGAGATGGATTTTCATATGGAAGAAGAAGCAATTGAGCAACAGAAGAATTACAAGAAAGAACTTGAGGAAGATTCACCCAAATCTGAATCATGAGGATACCAGTGTAATCTGAATCTATTACCCCAGGCACAACAAAATAACCCTTTTTGTGTGCAGAAGAATGAGGCAAAATTAAGCCAGCTAATCCTGAAGGAAGAGGACCTTTAAATTGAAATGGAACTATTTTAACTTCCATGGGAAATTTAAACTCAATTTCCTCTTGAGTGATTAAATTGATCCCAGTGCTACCGGCTGTGACTGGGGAGGAGTGAGAGAGACTGCTGGAGGAGTCAGAGTGATGGGAAAGGCACACTTTGGATTCTGGGTGGGTGCCACACCCATTGGCAAGTTTCCCGACTGAAACCGACATTGATTGGCCCAATGAAATCCCTTTTTACAAATAGGGCACTTCTTAGAAGGACGATTCTGAGGCATAGAAGGTGTAAAACGACAGTCCTTCTGAAAGTGGCCAGGCTTCTTACACTTAAAAGAGTTACCAATTGGTCGCTGTCCTTTCTGAATAGCAGCTGCTAACATATGCATTTTATAAGTTTGTGATCCAATATCCTGGCAGACTCGCAGCATATCTTCCAGAGTTGAATTGAAGACATATATTCAGGTGAAGAAGGGGGACAAATGACAGCATTAGTATAACGTGAAGGTGGAGGTGTTAAAAGAGAAAGTTCATTGTGACCAAATGTTTCAATTGCATGCCTACATAAATGCCACACATGCAAAACTTCTATTTTTGCTCAAGGTTCAGTATGCAATGTTTTCCGAATACATTCCCAATCAGTTAAAATTAAGACCCCTTTTCTGGGTACCATAGGCACTGAGCTGCAATCTCCTGGAACAGCCTTAAGAGATTTCTCTGTGGTACCTCGGTATTATTTTTCTTCAACAAATAGCCTAATTCATCTACATGCTTCCTTTGTTCCTCAGAAAGCGAAGACCCCATACTTACAGAAACCAAAAGGTTGAAGAAACCACAAAGGATTGAAGGTGCACGAAATCCTTGCTGGACCAAGTAAGAGGGTCCCTGTTCAAGCACCACTTGTTGTAATGACGAGGCAGTCGAGTTGTTTGATCATGAACAACTGAATGATGATGATGATGATCTTTATTGGAGTATAGTCTTGCATTTATATACATTTTTGGTTATCCTCCATCATTGGTTAACTTTGGTTACTGCTCAACTTTGGTTACTGTTTAGTACAGTAATCCATACAATTAATTATCTCTAGTTAAAGTCTAACATATGTCTACTTCCCTTCTCTAATTTTCCTTTATCCATAGATTAGTGACTTTGTTTGCCTGAGTTGTATTTGCTTGGAAACATTCTTTATCTGAGGTTTGCCACCCGAGATTGGAACATTCCTGCAATTATAACTCTACATGATACTAAGCTGGCAGGAATAGCTAACACCCTAGAAGATAGGCTCAAGATCCAGATGGATCTTGACAGACTTGAGCACTCCACCCTATCTAACAAAATGAAATTCAATGTAGAGAAAAGTCTTACACTTAGGCAAGAAAAACCAAAAGTACACATATAGACTGGGTGAAACCAGGCTTTATAGCAGTAACTGTGAGAGGGATCTTGGCGTCTTAGTAGACAACCTGTTAAATATGAGCCAGAAGTGTGCAGTTGCAACCAAAAAAGCCAATGCAAACCTAAATTGCATTAATAGAGGGATACAATCAAGATAGAGTGGCACTAATACCACTCTATTGTGATATGTAGAATTATACATGTGAAAATATAAATCAATGGTAATGCCATTTTTAACCTTTGTGTTAACCTAAGATAATTTACTGGAAAATTATGTAAGAATTTTCTATTTTGTATAAAGATTATATATTTGGCAGGTTACAGTGACCAGTGTCATGTTAATGATGGAGTTTACTGGAACTGGAAATAGGTAAACAGCACAAGGAAACAGATGTTATGCTACAATAACAGGTATTGCGTAGGGAGATATGCAGCTTGGATAGATTGTGAACCCAGGAAAGGGGCAGAGACTGAATATTTGAACCCCAGCCCTCCTGGGAAAAATGTTTTCTGCCCATGGGCAGAATTCCTTTTTGCAAAAGCTTCATAAAGCTCTTATATATTGTTCACGTGTCTCCAATATTCAGTTGTCTGAATACCTGAATGGATGATTTTTATCACAATTGGCTCTGAACCAGGACTCGAAGACATTCACCTTGCCACTGGTAGAGGAGAGTTGTCTGTAGACCAGGGGGCACCCACTGATTTCAGCGGCTGGTATGGAGAAGGCTCCTTCTCCAGTGGTGGATTGTGGATTTGCTCTTCAAATGTATTGCTGGAGACCCTGAACAAGGAGCTGCCCAAGCCCAAGCAGAGAAAGACCAGGCACCAGTGCCCAGGTGAGTACTAGTACATAAGGAGGTACTTGGTTAAGTCTCACTGGGTGGTCTATCCCTCCTTGAATAATTGACAGTAGTGTGTGCATAATTGTGCCTTCCTTTTGGAAATGCAGAGTGGTTTCTGTTAAAGGAAACAGTTAAAAGAGGAAGCAAAAGTCTTGGGTGGAATATGGGGCCCCAAAACGGAATGTTTGTTAAGGATCCTGAAAAAGAAATTCCTTCTAGTCCCCCTCTTCCCCTCTGGGGAATTTATGTCAGTAGAAGGAAGTGACAATGCTTAGAGACAGGTAGTGTCAGGGGGTGCTCCATTCAAAATCCAAGAAACACTTAGACTCCATTAATTAGAGACAAGGTATCTTTTACTGGAAATCAAGTGGTAGCATCAAAGGAATTCTGAATCTGAGGAATTGTGCATGAAAACCACATATACAAAGTGATGGCAACGTTCCCACCCACAATAGTTCAAACTGTCCATCCAATTAAAGTTGTATTTAATGTCATGTGGGTCATGTGGTCTGTTGACCTTGGCCTATTTTGATAAAAAATTGCCTGCACATAGCACAGCAAAGAAGCATAAACAAGAAAGTTTTTCCCCAACTTATACAGTTCATCTCTAAACCTCCAGTACATTTCGCACACCCACAAAACCCAATTATTTTATCCCTCCCCCTGTTACTATGGCAGCCGAAAGATGCAAAGCAAAGGAAATAAATCTTGAAGGCTGACATTCGGCCCTCCTGCAATAAAGGCATTAGCCCTATAAAGGAAAGAGAATACAAGATAAAAGAATAATATACATGTTACAACTGTTACAAAATTGTAAGGTTTGTCAGGATATTTCGCACGAAATGCCTGCATGAGCCTAGGGGCTCAAACATCCCTTTCATTTACCCATTCTGACTGGGAAGGAGGGAAGTGTTTCCAAACAGTTGAATACTGGAGTCGACCTCTTTCTCTCCTTGAATCCAAAATTTCTTTAACTTCAAAATGTTGTTCACCCTCAATCAAAAGAGGAACTTGGGTGGGGGGGTGTTTCAACCTGAGGAGGTCTCAGGTCGGAGGCATGTTCAGGTTTCAACAAACTAATATGAAAAACAGGGTGAATCCGTCTAAGGGTTTTAGGTAATTGCAGTTGGACTGCCACAGGATTCACAATTCATTCAATTGGGCAAGGTCCAACATATTTGGGCCCCAACTTTTTAGACTTTTGTGTGGTTTGCAAATATCTAGTGGACAAGAAAACCTTGTTCCCCACTTGATATTGGTTTTGTGGGGCTCTCTTTTTATCTGCGTGTTTCTTATGAGCTTTATGGGTAACTGGCTAGATAAGCTGGAGTTGGGTTATCCACTCATTCAGTGACTGAACATTGGATTTCTTCTGTGGAAGCTCAGGTATGGGTACAAAGTCTTACCCTGAAGCAACTTTAAATGGGGTAAAACCAGTATGACTATGAACCGAATTGTTGTATGCCATCTCAGTAAATGGTAATAAGTCTGACCAATCAGCTTGTTGATAATTTATATAGCATTTAAGCTTCTTTTTCCCAAATGGCCCATCTTCTTTCTGTCTCGGTTAGTTTATGGGAGGTGTATGCACACGGTTGCAAAATTCCCATCTTGTTTGCTTGTAGCAATGCCCCCACTTCTACATCACTCACATCGGCTTGGATTACAAAAGGGGCATCCATGTTCAGGTGCTTTAGCACTGGCTCTACTGCAAAAAGTCATTTCAGCTTCTCAAAAGTGGCTTGACATTCCATAGACCACTCTAGCGGTCGATTGGGCTTTGGTTTCACCTCCCCCTTGGTTTTTAGGAGGTTTGTAATAGGCAGTACAATCTTCGTGAAGGCCAGGATAAACTGACAGTAAAAATTAGCAAATACCAGGAAACTTTGCAATTGCTTTCTGGTGTGGGGAGGGGCCCATTACAAAACGGCGCAAACTTTCCCCAGATCCATTTCTATGCCATCAAGTGATATGCGGTAGCCTAAATAGTCAATTTTCTTTTGATGGAACTCACACTTGGATAACTTCACGTACAGTTCAGCAGCTCAAAGTTTTTTCAAAACTGATCATACTAATTTGACATGCTCATCGAGAATCTTGGTGTAGATAAGGATAAACCAGTACCTCTTTGTATAAATTGTTAGGAATCTGTCCACCAATTGGCAATATATAAACCAACAATGTATGTTTGTAGCTTTAAGACAAAATCACTGCATTGATTTATACTATATTCTGATTGGTTGATTATATTGCAAATTACCATAAGAGGGAGCTAGAGATCATAGTGTGCTCTCTCTGACATTCTGTTGCTATCTAAGGTTCTCTGTTGTATTTATGCTGTGCTTATACTTTGATATTTTTGTTTACTGGAAATGACAAAGGCAACTGGTTAGAAGACTTTGTAATTGGATATTCTTTGCACTGTAAAACGTATATGACCTGGACCGTTTATTGGACTGTGCTATTTCTTAAAGTAAACTTTAACTCAATTTAGTGTATCTTTGTGTGGCTGAATAATTATTCATAACTACTCTCATAAAGGTTTCCATGTGCATATCCTTGTTACTCAAGGGCTATTCTGTACATATAACATAAATGTTCATGCAAAACCTCATTTATCATTTGCATGAATACAGCAGGAGCCCACTGTAGGCCAAATGGGAGAACGTTGAATTGGAAACATCCCATTGGGCGATTAAAAGCAGTTTTCCATTCATCTCCCTTCTTGATTCGAACTTGGTAGTAAGCCTCTCTCAAATCGAGTTTCGTAAAAATTTTCCCTTTGGCTAGATGGGTCAACATGTCATCAAGGGGAGGGGATACACGTTCTCCACCTAAATTGCATTTAAATTTCTATAGTCAACACACAAACGAAGTGAGCCATCTTCTCGTGGAACAATACTGGGGCCGCTACTCGAGGCCTAGCAGGTTGGATGAACCCTCGTTCAAGGTTTTTATCAATAAATGACTTCAGTTCTAGCTCCCACGGTGCCATTGAGTACAGTTTAGGTTTTGGAAGTTTCACTCCTGTTAAAATTTCAATACTGCAATTTGTTGTACGATGGTGAGGGGAGCTTATCCGATGCCTTTTCACTAAACCAGGGGTCGCCAACCTTTTGGATCTCAGGGACCACCAAACTCATAATTTTAAATCCCAGGGACCACTAACCAGTTCTGTGGGCATGGCCTAATTTGTGGGTGTGGCTTGGTGGTCATGTGACTGGCTGGACATGGCTTGTATGTAAATATTATAAATATTTATGTAAATATTGAATTTTTTATAAAAAAGAGCAACTTTTACCCAAAATCGGGCAAAACAGGCAGGCAGATTGAGTTGCTCACAGAATCACAGATTCATTCAGAAATCTATCTGCCATTGGCTAGCTCAGTCTGTCACATAAAATTTGCTTGAAAGCAAACCTTCAGTCCTAAGGGAGGTTCAGCTATGATTAAAAGCAGAGCCAAACTCTATAAAGACTAGCTAGAAAGCAAGAAATCCAACCATTTCCTGCTTCCTAGCTAATCTAAATTTTCTGGCACAGCAGAACAGATGATGATTGGAAAAAGGAAAAATAGCAATTTAGCAGGCAAGTTTGCTGGGTAAGGAGTGGGTGGGTGGGAGGGTTCCCATGGGCCATGTGGGCGGTGCAGTGGTGTGTTTCGGCACAGCCTGGGTTAATTGCTTTGGGGGGGTGCTCTGGGGAGGGGATTTCTCTGCAGCCCACCAAAATTTTCTCACGGCCCACCAGTGGGCCACGGCCCATCGGTTAGCGACTGCTAAACTAAACACCTCCTTTAAATCCCAATATTGTTCAGGGATTTTCTCCCCCCCCCCAAGTTCTCACTGCCCATGGATGCCAGCTCTGTGGAATCCTGGGAGTTCGGCTGAGACTGCCCCTTCCCTTCTGGGGGTTGGTCAGTACGTATGCATAACAATCCCCTTCTCCAATCCACTTGCGGGTTCCACTTCCGGAGCCAGGGCAAGCCTAGTAGTAAGGAGTGCTCCATCCTGGGGCAACAATAAGACACCAAGTCTCTCTATGCCTTCTCATTGTCATTTCAACTGGTTCCATTATGAAATACGCAGGGCCGCCCCCAGCTACTGATCCATTCAGTTAGCAAAATGCTATGGGAGTTTTTAAAGTCCTTAGTCTTAAACCCAACTTCTCCACGACTTCTGAGCTGATCACACACCTTGTGCACCCAGAGTCTAACAAGGCGAACATTTCTCCTTGAGCTTCCAACATGGGTACCCTTAATCCCATTGGGCCCTTGTTTGGACCTACCAGAGGGTCGTCTTCAGATTCAGATTCACTCACCAGAAGAGGTCAGAGTTCCCAGCTCCTCCTCCACTTTAAGTGCCGTTTCGCGCAGCTTGACTGGAGTTTTTTTCAGGTTTTCTTCCTCCAACTGGCACCCCCTTTGGCTCCAGCTTAGCATGGCAGTCTGCAGCCCGGTGACCTTCCTTCTCACATCAGAAGCATGTGGTGGTCTTGGGCTTTACTGCTGATCCTCCCTTTTGAGGCTTTGGGGCTTCTCAAGGGCTGGTGCAGGGGACTTGCTCCAACCAAGACCACCCCTGAATTTGTTTCGGGTCAGATTGATCTCCACTTCTGCTGCCAACACATTCCAGAGTTGCAGATCACTGGGGTCCTTTCTGGCGATGTAGCTTTGAAAAACATCTTCATTCAACCCATCTTTAAAAGCTTCTATCAGGGTCTTCTGGGACCAGCCTTGAATATGACATGCCAGCTCTCTAAATTCCTGGGTGTATTCCCCTGCAGGGAAGCTGGTCTTGCAGTAGTTCCCAAATCCTCTTGGTTGCTGGCTAGATTAGACATTGTTTTCAGACTCCCTCGGAAGAAAAGTATTAATTCTCTAGGTGGGCTGGTAAACTGAGATTCAGAATAATGTCAGGTAGTGCTCCATTCAAAATCCAAGAAAGAAACACTTAGACTCCATTAATTAGAGAAAAGATATATTTTACTGGAAATCAATGGAATTCTGAATCTGAGGAATTGCACACAAAAACCACATATACAAAGTGATGGCAACCTTCCCACCCACAATAGTTCAAACTGTCCATCAAATTAAAGTTGTATTTAATGTCATGTTGGCGTCTTCAGGTGGTGATGCAGGCATCTGACCTTGGCCTATTTTGATAAAGAGTTGGGTCTGCGCATAGCACAGCAAAGAAGCATAAACAAGAAAGTTTTTCCCCAACTTATACAGTCCATCTCTAAACCTCCAGTACATTTCCCATACCCACAAAGCCCAATTATTTCACTCCTCCCCCCATTACTATGGCAGCCGAAAGATGCAAAGCAAAGGAAAAAAATCTTGAAGGGTGACAGGTAGTAAAACTCCTGTGATTAATGAAAATTAAGAACACTGGGTGTGACTTTGAGTAAATGTGAGACATTCGCGAAAACAATTAGGAAGTGAGGTTAATCACTGCTGTTATGTGTGATAGGAAGAGAAGAAACTACAGTGATATCTCGAAATAAATCTTGAGGATTTATCATTCCTAAAAAAGTGGTTTATTTTTCTTCCCTCCCGGGGTTTAGCAGGTAGTAAAAAGGTAAAAGCCTGTCTAAATGGGAAGACGTAGATAATTTGCCTTTGATTAATGTGTTGTGATTTCTGTTAAACTTTTCTAGATATATGTCTATAATAATAGTATGAAGTGAATGGGATTGAAATGATTGTGATATGTTTGGACTGCCGGCAAATGTTGTATAGGTAAACTTTTTGGCTTGCATTTGGAGCTGTGGAAAATGGGTAGTGGTTAGGGCCCAAAATCACATTTTGATTAAAGCCACTCCCTTTCCCACTGATTGAAGAATGAGCTGTGGATGCTCATAATGGTATGTTTGCATGAAAGTGTCTATGTGTAATTATTTCCAAACCTTATGGGAGGATGGTACACAAATTGTTGTTTTAAGAAAATTGAGCTTATTGGCTTGTGAAAAGTTCCCTGAAATAATTATGATTGTTTTAAATAGAAAAATTGAATGTTATGCATGTGATATTGGTTCACAAGAAAAGTCTGATTGCTGTACAAATGTGTGTGATAAGCTCTGAGGCTCATAAGAAAAAGAGTTCCTAAGACCTTTGTGCTGACAACCCAGAGAGAGAGAGTTCCTTTTGTATAAAAGCTGCAAGGTTTCAATGTTGTTGTTGTTAAGACAAATGTTGTATATAAATACCCCATGGTGGGAAAGATATTTATGAGGAATATCTGTGATTTACTAAAGCTAGAGAGAGAGAGAGGGAGAAATGGGGAAAAGTGGAAAGAGGAGGGGAGACTTTTGTGCAGTTGAAATATTCCCCCCACCCCACCCCCTTTTGTCAGTTGATTTTTATCACACTATAAAGCCTTAGTAAGACTACACCTAGAATGCTACATCCAATTTTGGTCACCACACTATAAAAAAAGAGTTAAAATTCTAGAAAAAGTGCAACCAGGATGATTGGGGGACTGGAGACTAAAACATGAAGAATGGTTACAGGAACTGGGCATGGCTACTCTAATGAAGAGAAGGGCCAGGGGAGACATGATAGCAGTGTTCCAACATTTGAGGGGCTGCCACAGAGTGGAAGGGGTTAAGCTATTTTCAAGGCACCTGAAGGCCAGACAAGGGATAATGGATGGAAACTGATCAAGGAGAGATTCAACCTAGAAATAAGGAGAAATTCTCTGACAGTGAGAACAATCAACCAATGGAACAACTTGCCTTCAGAAGTTGTGGGAGCTTCATCACTGGAGGCTTTCAAGAAGAGATTGGACTGCCATTTGTCAGAAATGGTGTAGGGTCTCCTGCTTGGGTGTGGGGTTGGACCAGATGACCTACAAGATCCCTTCCAACTCTGTTAATTTAATCTAATTCTACATGAGACTGAAGTCTAGGCTTACACATCTTACATAAAAATCTAGCTGTAACAACAGGCTTATATTTGTTACACTGTTTATAGGCCTTCAGCTTTTGATGCAATTTCAGGAAAAATTCTTTGGGAGATATTGAGTAATAGAAACATGGAATGGTATCTCTCATGTTCAATTAGGTTAGAATTACATGGAATGGTATATCTCATGTTCAATTAGGTTAGAATTAGATGTGATCCTCAAATTCAATCCCTGTTCAAAATGAAGCTAGATAAGGTTTTATTTTAGCCCCCACTTTATTTAACATAAAATTCCTTTGCAGCTTGATAATCTAGTCTGAGTTTGCATCTTTACTGTTCCTCAAAACTGAGGGCGCATGTGTATATTGTGGTTCTTTTATATACAGATACGACTGTCTCTTCCTTAAACCCTGTAGGACTTAGACAAGCTCTCAAAGCTTTAAAAAGTTTTATAATCCATTATTACTGTGAGCGTTGCCTGAGAAAACCCCAAAAGAATTAAATGAACTATCGAGAGAAAAGAAACAGAGAAAATTAAGCATTTCAAATATCTGAGCACCATACAGGTGCCTGGAAGATGCATAGTGATCACTGTACTTGTTTGCTAGCACAAACAAGCACAACAGCCATTATAAAGTTTATCTGGACAAAGGATAGGTAGTTATCAACCTTAGCATGGTAAAACAGATAAGAAACACAATCATATGAGCTAATTTGGATTTACTATAAAGATATAGTATCACAATTCTGCAAGTCTGAAAGTACATTTCTCTCCGCCTCTTTTATAGCCGAAGAAGCTGGGAGGCAGAGGTAGTATTCAGCCGATTTGAACTAGTTCAGGCAAATAGATATTGGAAATTTTAACTAGTTCTGAGAACCAGCAAATACCACCTCTAGCTGGCCCCACCCCAGCCTGCCCAGTTGTCGCTTGACCCGCCCGCCCTGCCCAGCACTTACCCAGTGCTAACCTGCCTTTGCCTGCCATTGCTGCCTGTTTTCCACTCTGTCCCCGATCTCCCTGGGTGAGTGAGCCTGCAAGCAAGCCCCAGTCGACTTCTGGCCCAGCCTAGGCTGCCACTGTCATGGCAAGCCCCAGTGGAGTTGACTCCCAGCCTTGCCTACCTGCCGCTGCCGCCACCGCCTCTGCCAGCCCCAGTTGACTGCCAACTCCCAGGCTGCTGCGCTGCTCCCCCCACTGTCCCCAGGCTTGCCTGGATTGCTTCCGTGGCCGTTCCATGGCTCCATTGCACATGACGCTCATGGCCTAGCTAACTAGCCCCCGCCCCCGTCCCCAGCACCACTTCCTGGAGCTTCCTGCTACTTCCCGTCCCTTCCTGAAGCTTCCCACTGTTCCCAGCGCTTCCCATGCTTCCTGGAACTTCCTGGAGCTTGCCGAATCTTCCTGCTTGCCTCTGAATGCTGGCTGAGAAGCCGCATGGCTGCGCTGGCTGGGAGAATGGAGAGAGCATTCTCCCCCCTAGCCAGGAGACTGCATGACCACACTGGCTGGGAGAAAGGGGAGAACGTCTGTTTTCTGAGCAGTTTTCGAGGCTGGAAAAGTTCAGCTAAGTCGTCTCCTCCGTCTTGGCCTCAAACATACACACACACACTCATGGTGCTGGGACCTTCTGCAATGAGACTGTGCATGGGCAAGTCTCCCTGGCACCATAACGTGTGTGCATGTTTGCTCTGTGTGTATGTTTGAGGCCGAGAAGGAGGAGGTTTGGCCAAACTTTGGAAAAACTTTGCCCAAGACTTCTTGTGTATTCAGGGGCTACACCTCTCCCAACAATGAGTTTGGGGGATGATTTAATGAAATGTCTTCCAGCTCTTCAAGATTGACTTTAAGAGTGCCCAAGTTTTAGACTCTCTGCTGCTGCTTGTAGCTTGCTTAGAAAGACTCCCATCCTTGTTTTGGTAGGTGAGAGACCGAACAGTTGTTCCTTTATCCTCACTGCATGCCAAAGCATCCCCTCCCATGCTGCCCCCTCCCCAGTAACTCACCCTAAACCTCCCTCTTTGGAAGACTTTGCTGATTGTTCATTGTCACTCCTCAGCCCCCATGGAAGAAGCCGAGAACAAAAATAGCTTTTTATATCTTTCCTCAGAGGCGCAGTGTCTACCTCCCTTCACACTCCTTGCGCTAGTGTCCTTTAGATGGGCTTTTGTCATCCCAAGGGAGGGGGGGGGAGCTATGTAGGAAATCACCCTGTCTCTGCAGCATAGGTCATGTGACTGGGTTGGCATGGCCAACTCGACCTCACTCACAGCAAGGTGCTGCCCCACCTTGCCATGAGTAATGTTGTGTTAGCCACACCCACTCAGTCACATGGCCACCCAGCCACACTCACTAAATCACGCCCACAGAACCGGTAGTGAAAATTTTTGCATCCTACTACTGTAGGGAGTGTCTTCTTAGTCACTTGCTTTGCCCACATTCCTGTTGTAGGCTCATCTACCTCTTACCAGTTGTGTCTCTTTACCTTGTCTCTCAAGGTCATTCCCACATTCCATTATATCAGTGCCTATAAATATCACAGCAGTGATAGTCTATCATCGCAAAAACTATGGCTCCAATGCAACTGGAACTATTTTCCTATTATAAATCACTTAAGGTCATGACGTTTTGAGAATTCTTTTCCAAGTACCTAGATACACATGGAGAGTGAATTAGGACAATAAAAAGTAGAGGTGCATGCATTATTGTAAATATTAATTTAGATGCCAATTTCTCCTTCAATATAGGTTCCATTTGTCCTGGAAAGTCAATTTTAATTCTTATGGCAAGAAGCAAATGCGGGGGGGGGGGGGGGGAGGAATTACCCATTATGATAAGTTTTGTCGCTTGTCACTTGAACAACAACTTCTTTACACTCAGGTAAGAGAAGAACTAGAAAGATCCCTAGATATTGAACTTCAGAATGAAGTTAGCACAGTAGGATTCCAATTCACCCAGTCACATGGCCACCAAGCCACACCCATCCAGTCACATGACCAAACCACGCTGTCATGTGACCAAGCCACACCCACAAATTAAGCCATGCCCATAGAACCAGTTCTTACAAAATTTGAATCCCACCCGATGTGCAGCACTGCTTCAGCCCCACCCCCTGGGTGTGCACACAGGAGGCATGAGGGCTGGCGTCCTGGATGAAGGGAAGCGCTGAGCACGCAGTCCTCAGAATTCCAGGTCCCATGCGCCCACCGCCTTTTCTGTGCGTGCCCAGGCGAAGAGCAGACGCAGGACCATGGATCTAAGATTGATTGCAGTCTGGCCTGGATGGCCACCTCCAGGTGGCAGATCAGCACCTGATTGGCCTAGTCCAGGCCAAGGTGCCGTGGGCCAGTCTTTCGCTATTTCCAGGGCAGAACTGCAGGCCGGATTTAACCACCTTGTGAGCCAGATTTGGCCCAAAGGTCTTGATTTTGACACTCCTGCTATAGAGAAAATAATGGATATTATATACTTTATAATAGATGTTGAATCAAAGACTCAGAATAAATATTATACCTAATGCAAATTAGGTATATACCTTGGTGTTCCTAAAACTGAAATGAATGGCAGATTTGAAATGTACGATTAAGGCAATTAATGCTTAGCAAAATATATATCAAAATTAAA